GTTAACAGTATGACTGGTTTCTTTTTGATAGACCAACTCACACACCTTCTTACTAAGACAACCTTTCAAAACCACCTGTACTTAGAAGAACTTGTAAACTTTTTACAACGAAGCGAAGTTGACATCTAAGTATCTCCGTGAAGTGATAGGCTAAAGATCTGCCAATCAGGGCATGGTAAATGGAAATGATATACCATCACTACTAATTTAAGGCCTGTTTTAATTTGTTTTGCCATCTTTGTCTTATACAAATACACATGCTTTAAATCTTGGCTTTAGTTCTGCTACTTTTCCCATTAGGTTTTAAGCTCATCAACCATCAACTGTCCTAGGTCAAGTGTCTTCTAGAACCTACCCCATTGAGTCAAGTAGAGAATACTTATATTCGTTCACAGAGACTGTGACTCTGGAGCTGTACTTAAACTATGAGTACGGTCAACTGCGGACACTGACAAAGAAGCTGAAGAGTCTGGATCCTGTTGGACAGTTAGGAAAAGGTAGGCAATACCTCTCCCACTGCTCACCTGCTGTATTCCCTGCCTAGATACACTTTTCTTCTAACCTTTAAATCCAATTGAATTTGTGATTCCAATTCTTTTTTTTTTTTTTTTTTTTTGAGACGGAGTCTCGCTCCGTCGCCCAAGCTGGAGTGCAGTGGCCGGATCTTGGCTCACTGCAAGCTCCGCCTCCCGGGTTCACGCCATTATCCTGCTTCAGCCTCCCAAGTAGCTGGGACTACAGGCGCCCGCCACCTTGCCCGGCTAGTTTTTTGTATTTTTTAGTAGAGACGGGGTTTCAGCAGGTTAGCCAGGATGGTCTCGATCTCCTGACCTCGTGATCCATCTGTCTTGGCCTTCCAAAGTGCTGGGATTATGGGCTTGAGCCACCGCACCCGGCCTGTGATTCCAATTCTTAAACAACCAATATGGACTATTCCCGAAACTTCATAAATAAAATCAGGTGGACATTTACAGTACTGAGCAGGCCTACACAAGACACTGCTCACTTCTATAGCACCTTTTTATTTCACAATCCCAAACTGTCAAAGTTGCCCCAACAGAAAGTATCAGTGATGGAATGTCTCTCATTTTATACATGTACAACACTCTATTCACCCTGTTTCTGCCATTATAAGCATAGCTATTCATGCAAATAAACTAAAAGGGCTGAGATCAACATTCAATCATTAACTAAATTTCAACTTCATAATTCAACCCCAAAGCTATCCAGTGCCAAGTGTTTTAAAACATTACAGAACAAGGCTGGGCACTTTGGTTCACACCTGTAATCCCAACATTCGGGAGGCCAAGGCAGCAGGATCACTTGAGTCAAGGAGTTTGAGACCAGCCTGGGCAACATAATGAAACCCTGTCTCTACAAATAATTTAAAAATCAGTCGGGCACACTTGTGCACACCTGTAGTCTGAGCTACTCAGGAGGCTGAGGTGGGAGGATCGCTTGAGCCTGGGAGGCAGAGGTTGCAATGAGCCATGATCGCACTACTGCACTCCAGCCTAAAAGACCAAGACTCTGTCTAAAAAAAAAAAAAAAAAAAAAAAAAAAAAAAAAAAAAGCCAAGCACAGTGGCTCAGGCCTATAGTGCCTGTTACTTAGGAGGCAAAAAGATCATTTTAACCCAGAAGTTCAAGTCCAGCCTGGGCAAGACAGTGAGGCTCTGTCTTTAAAAAAATAATAATTACAGGACAAAATATACAATGACTCAAACATTCCATTAAGCAAAAGAGTTAATATGGAATAACTTCTCACTTCTAAGTCCTCAGGAGTACTTACAGGTAATAAGTCAAAATCATTAAAAAGTCCCACTCAATAGTTATATTTAATTTGTACCACGAATAACTTCCAAAAATGGATTAAAATAACATGTCAAAAATAACTCATTTACTTGGGTGTTCATTATTTTGGAACTGTTTCTAGAAAACTGACCCCAAAATTTAGATGTCAGAAGACTGTATTTCCCAAGTGAAGTTTTTGAAACTACAGACCTGAGGAAGACCATCATGAATGGGAGAGAAAATATGGATTGCAGTTAAGCATGCCATAGGGTACAAGACAGAATGCCTGGGTCAGAATTCTGGTCCTACCACTCAGTAGCTATCTAACCTTAGTACCACAGTTACTTCAGCTGCAAAACGGGAAAAACAAAAATACCTACTCCATACAGTTGTTGTGAGGATTAAAGCCAGGCAAGTAAGTAGTACATGTAAAGGGTTTAGCAGGAAGCAGCATTATATATTTACTTATCATCATTACCATATGACTAGAGCACTTAAATCATCCACAGAAACGCCTTTTCCTATTTCAGTCTTCCTTAATTGGTCTAGTAGCATTTAAACCCTCCCTCCTTGGCTTCCTCATAAAATACATTTTTTTATGGTATTTATTTGGGTAGGTACATTTCTCTCCCACTGGATCACATCTCCTTGAAGACAGCAACCACAGTTCGTGCGAGAGTATAGAGCAGCAAACACTGTTCACTGCTGCCTTTGATTTCTTTCCCTCTAAAGATTCTGAACAATAATACCCTGTCAATTAGCAAACCTTTACCTGGAGACAGAAGGCTTATGCAACCACTGCACTTAAGTACTGGTCATACCTTGCTAAATACTTTCTTAAGACTTAAACAAAAATTTTGGGGGGAATAAGAGGAGGATATGCTTCATGTTTTTAAACTACTAACCAAAGATATATTTTTAATTTTTTAAAAAAAGTGATGTCTCAAAGGCTTGCATTGTTTTATTCATACAGATCATGGTGCTTTTAACATAAAAATACAGTAGCATAATTTCTGCATATGTCAAGTCTAACCTAATCATAACTTGCCCATCTGCTGATTTTAATGTAATCCTAAGGATGCTAGATGACAATATGCTTGTTTGATTCATCCTACACTATTTACATAAAATAAAAGCATTTTAACAATACATCGAGATGCAAGTCTTTCTGGCTCTGATTTGTGCTCTCTCTCTTAACAAAAAGTGTCACACACACCAAAAAAAGTCTCCAACTTATCCTGGATCACTGGGGAGGCACTTTCGAAAGGGCATTATCCAGTTTCACTAACACAATGATGCTCTCCTTACATTTAAGAGAACAGAACTTTTCTGAAAGCAAAGAGCTGAACTGAGTCCATTGCTTTGTTATCATTTTTTAGAAAGTCCAATTTTTCCTTTGTTCTTATAGTGTCCTACCTTTAGAAATCAAGTTTGCAGCATAAAAACTGACAAGGACATCTATTTGTTGGCACAAATCATCTTAGTCTCTATTCTTTGACTTATTTTAAAACAAACTCAAGAGCAAATGGCTAGAGAAGAACTGCTCCTATTTAATGTGGGTTTTCTAAGTCTAATTTTTTCATTCCCAGTGGCAGGGCCTTTCAAAAGAGTACAAAAACTACACCCAACTTTGCTTCTCATTCTAAACACATCCCAACCAAATGGGAAACATTATCAGCCATCTTAACAAGGAGAAAACAAAGCTAAGTGAGGGCAAACCAAAGCATTTTTTAATTCATTGTACCTCTTTTGAGATCAGGATTTTTCAGATGTAAGTAGTTCGATGAACTTATGCAATAAAATTATGTAATATCATAATTTAACATAATATTTTAGACTAACTTCTCTCTCCTCAAATAGTCACAAGGGTGGCTAATTCACATACAATACCTCTCAGCCACTGGGGAGAGAGTATAATAAACTTAATTGTTTAACATATCCTGAGGCACAGAGAGAAAGGCCAAATTCAAAGAGGTTTACAGTACCTTACATACACAGATGATTGAGACAAAGAACTTTTAAGAATCTGTACTGAGGAAGCAAAAAGGGGCTTAAGTACCATAGACCCTGCCTTAAAGTAGAGAGACCGGTCAAACGCAAGCCCCAGCGCCAAAAAAGATCTCACTCATCAATCCCCATCTTACAATCAAGAGGTACAGCTTAAATCACTTAAAGCTGTTTTTTCATATTTGAGCGGTAAAATAAGCTAACAGTCAGGCCATTTCCGATTAAGTGGCTTCTCTCAAAACTTACCACAAGTTATGTGAAATAGGCAAGAGCGTTGGTTCTGCATTTTATCAAGTGAGAAACAACAGCATCCTACTTTTGGACAAGCCACTACTTTCAGAGCCACTAGCCCTCCCCCCACCTTCCATTTCTTTTTATATCATTCCTCCAAACTTAGAACCCGAAAAGCTATTCCACAAAACAAAAGCAGCACCAGTCAAAGGAAAGGCCACTGGTTTTGAAAATAAAGTTTGTTCTTTTGCTGTCAACCTGGCAACTTTTTAAAGGTGAAACGTGCCCTACTCAATTGGTTATAATCTTTTCTATTCCCACATCAAATAACCACTCGTTTGACCTCGATACTAAAGGTGAAAAAAGGAGTGGGAGAAAATGATTTTGAAAGGAAGGGGCTACGGGTGCAATGGTAAAGATAGATTCTAAGACTGGTTTTGAGCACTCCGTGGCTTCTGGGAGCTGGGAGGCTTTCCTGAGTCTGTCTTGAGAAATGTTTGGCAATCTGACGCATCAGTTTTTAGGAATGGTACACAAACAGCCCCCACAATTGAAGAGCCATGCCTCGGATCCTGGCTCTGGGTGACATAGGCTGGAGGGCACGGGACGGGAGCGCTGGGGCTACCCGGAGAGGATCCGCGACATTTGTTATTGTTTATGAAGCCCAGGCGGGGACCCGGAGTGGGGTGCTCTGGGGCTGGGGAGTGGAAGGAGAAAGGAGCAAAGAGAAGGACAAAGATTCCTTCCCGGGCGCGAGGCTCCCTCTCTGGACACACGGGGCCAGTATCACCCCGGGGAATAAGAGGGCCAAGGCCGTCGCCGCAGGTTCCCCGGAGACATTTCCAGCCCCGGAATTAGCCCCGCTTTCCCTGGACACCCAAAGACACCTAAGATCTCCTCCTGCTCGCAGAGTTGGGGCTGGCGCGGCGAGCCCGGACCCCCAGCCTAGCGCCGCATCCGCGAACTCACCTGCCTCCGGTCGCGCCCGCGGCCGGCTCAGCCTCCGCACGGACCGCAGCCGGCCGGGCGCCCGTCCGCTCCCTTCTCCCCGCTCCGCCCTCGCCCCGCCCCCGGGAGGTGGGACCCGCGGCCTCGCCGGAATCTCGGGGCGGCCTCCCTGAACTCTCGCGAGCCCTCCCTCCTCGGCTTCTCCGTGGCTGGGTCGGTCCGACTCGCCCTGACGTCATACGCACCACAACCGGAAGTAGTCTTCTGTCGTCAACGCCGCCCTCCCCGGCCTCACCCATCTCTGCCTGGTGAAGTCTAGACTAGTTCTGAGGGAGTTGACTGTCACCACTTCTCCTCTCACCAGCCTCACCTCACTGCCGTTTTTACTCAAAACCTGTTCAGGCCTCTCTTGAGGGTGGCCTAGTGTGTTGCGACATTAGTCACATTCTAAATGTCATCCGAATTTTTCAAACAATGTAATGCAAAGAATGTTAGAAATGGAAAGAGAATTCACACATTTTTCAGATGGGTAAACAGTGGTCAACAAAGATGGATCAGCTAAGTTGCTCAGTCGGTAGCTGTGGGCACTCGAAGCTACCCAGGTTCCTTGATGCTTCCATTTCACCATGAGGGGACTCCAGAGACGAGAGGAACTAGGATTTGGAAATGCCACAAAAAAGACATTAAACACCTGTTTGGGTTTTCTTGGAAAATCTAAAATAACTGACGGTACTGGCCTGCTTTATCATTAGGATTTGAGAATTGTGCAGAAGAGCACTCCCCTATAGGATGATCCAAAAGGGACAACTTTGGGAAGGTTGATGCAATTTGTGTCTGGGGACAAAACTGGCCTTTGGGAAAGCCAAATAAGAGAATGACTCCCAATTATTGTTGACAAGTTTTTCCTCAATATGAGTATTGGAGGTTTTATAAAATATCCTTAGCTTTTAGCTTATTGAGACAATATATGAAGCTGGTACTGTGCTTGCAAAAATTATCACTTAGAAATGCCACCTGTCATCTTTAGGTTTCCCAAGAGCAGGTGACACGAGCAAAACACTTAGGAAAGAAGCATTACATCATTTCTCTTTCTTACACGGTGCTTTTTCATGCATTGCTCAGTAGTGGGAAAAGCTCTAGTTTGGTAATTAGTGTATTTTGGGGGAGATTAGCTCCACTTATATGGTCATTTTGAAACTCAAATGACATTTGTCATATACAAGCATAGGAGGTTTAATTGTGATCAGACAAGCTTGACAGAGGCCTATACACCCTTCTCCCTGTACTGCACACATACACATACCATTCAAATGCTACAGTAGGATTGAGAACAGTGTATGGTTTGTTCCATAGCAAATTTATGTCTTCAAATGCGCCATGCTAGAGTAATATGAACTAGTATAGAGTATCAGTCTAGGTTAATATGAGATAGGCTAAGACTTTGACCTCTAGTTCCTAAATTTTCCTAAATTGAGACCATTGTAAACAAATTTCCCTGGGAGGTTGTTGAAAGTACCTCAACGGAAACAAATCAGAGCTATGAACCAGAATTTTGGTGGTCTATGGACCTCTTTTCAAAACGGTGTTCTTAAATGCATAAACTACCTAGGGTTACAAAGTAAATTGATAACGTTAACATACAGTTACCAAAAATACTAAAAAGTGAGTTTGTGTTATAATTATGTGGTAAGTGGTAGCATCTAAGATGGCTGTCAATGATCCTACGCTTCTGGTATTCCTGCCTTCTATAATTCCCTTCTCTAGTAACTTAGTTCTTAAAAAGGAAATACAGCAAAAGCAATTGGGATATCATTTTCATGATTAGGTAACAAAAAGATTCTGGGCTCCATCTTGCTTGTCCTTGCTCTCTCACTTGCTCGCTTTCATGGAAGCCAGCTGCTGTGTTGTGACCTGCCTTACAGAGAGGCCCACGTGGCAAGGAACTGAGAGATACCCAGTCAACAGCCACCAAGAAATTCAGGCCCCCAGTCCAACAACCTGTGATGAACTAAATACTGCCAATAATCACGTGAGTAAACTTGGAAGTAGATTCTTTCCCAGTTGAGCCTTGAGATGACTGCAGCCTTGTAAAACCAGATACTGAGCCAGCAGGCCCAGTATCTAGCCAAGCCCAGATTTCTGGCCCACAGAAACTGTGAGACAATAAACATTTGTTGTTTTAAGCCACTAACTTTTGGGGTACTATGTTACACTGCCATAGATAACTGAAGTGGTTATATATTTGCCTCTTTATTAATGCATTAAATAATAAGATCAAGACCTACAGTAATTTTGTAGTAATATAAACAATATTTTGAGATATCTACAACAACTTTAATGGGGTAGAAAATACATGTGATTCCTATTGAGGAAAAGTCACAGGTATTGCTAATATTCCTGTGGTTTGCTGCGTACATTTATGATGGAACAAATGCCAATTTTCAGTTTGAATTTAGTGAAAAAATTATATAACTATATAATATATAATATATATAACTATATAACTATATAGTTTTATATATATAATATATATATATTTTTCTTTGAGGTTCACAGACCCAGGTTAAGAACCATTGACCTAAGTAATAGATCATTTGTAGGAACTTCCAAAACTCTTATCACCAACTATCTGATACAGAATCAAAGTTCAGGTAATAAACATACACTATGGCCACTGCTAACGTTATTAGCCTACAGCTGAATATGACTTTGTATCCCCTTCCTCCACTTATTCCCTCTTCTTTGAGTTTATGCTAAATGTAGGCAGACAGGCTAAAACTGTAGGCCAGAAAGGATGAGAAAAATCATGATGAAAACCTTTTCAGCACTCAATTTATCTAATTTTTGTTTTTACCATTTGAAATTGTTAGCTCCTTGATCAGAAGAACTCTTTGGTGTTACTTTTACTCTCTTAGGCCTACCACATAGTAAATAAAAATGAATGCCAAATGGCAGTAGTACATAGTAATAGAAGGACAGCTATTGATAAACCCTTCCGCCAAATGAATAAAGCAACTTTTCCATTTATGCAATTTTGCAACTGTGGGATATACCCAAAGCAGTATTTAGAGGGCTAATTTATTGTTTTAAATGCACTTCACAGAAAACACAAAAATGAAAACAAATGAACAAAGCTTTCAACTCAGGAAACCTGAAAGAGAAAACAAAATAAATTCAAAGAAAGAAGGAGGATATAAAACTTAGAGCAGAAGCCCCTCCATGACCCTTATGTCCACCAAGGAATGTAAATCAAATATATAATCATTCCCATATATACCTCTGTTTTGCAAATGTATGTAAATTTTGTTATGATTAATAATTTAAAATGTAATTTTAAAGATAAAGGCAGAAATTAACTATTAATTTAGAAATTAACTTTTTTGAAAACAAAAAAATGACTGAAATTGACAATAACCAAAAACTGATTCTTTGGAAAAGTAAAGGAAATAGGAAAAAACTTGACAAGATTAATCCGGGGAAAACAAAAAGACACAAACAGTAACAATGATGATGGAGATGCGACTACAGATACGGAGACTTTAAAGAGCATAAAAGTTTATGATATGCAGTGTTATGCCAATAGATTTAAAAAGGAGAGAGAATAGGTGCTTTTTCGTTCTCCTGGAAGTCTCTCCTGATGCAAAGCTAGTGAAGTTTTTACCATGGAAAAAAATTGAAAGTTTACAAGATTTTTTAAAAAGCTGAATGGGCCTTTCCAGTTTGAGACTAACAGTGCTTAACTCCTGGCTCCTCCTCTCATATCCATGACTTTCAAAAGGACTCTAACCAAGACCAGACAACTAAGTGCAGTTGAGTTTGTTTGAAAATGAAGACTCTATTTTACAAGCTGCATGGGACTTTCACTGGGCCATTTAATCATGCACATGACAATCCATTCAGAGCTATCACCAGACTGTCTTCTGCAAATTACTTTATAAACCTGCAAACAGTGATTTCTAATTGATCCCTGATTTCTTTTTTAACTGACTTGACTAGACCGAAAAAAGGCTGAATCACACTAGAGATTTTTTAGCATTAATTTTTCTTGATATTATGGATTGACATCCCTCAGTTCACATTTGACATTACATCACAATCACATAGAGGGTCACTCGTGAAAAAGTATGTTTCTGAAGATTTGATATTCGTGGTTTTTAAAATTCTAAACCATTACTTGCAACAGTTTCCACTGTGTTAAAACAGTTGAACTTCCTTTTCAGTTATCTCCTCCCACTAGAGAATGTGAACTTCAGGGCAAGCTACTAGAAGTGACTCAAAGGCAATGCACACTTTACATTTCTGAGCCTGTTACCAAACTACCATCCAGAGGTTATACCAATTTCCACACTACCAGCAGGCAGTACAAGAAAATTCCCATTTCCCCACATGCTTGCTCACATTGGGTTTTGTTTATATTTTTAATCCAGCCAGTGAAAGAAAGACTAAGACCTTGACAGGAAAGCCACTTCACAGGCGTGCAATCTATGTTCCTCTTCTTCCTTTCAGCTCTGGCCTTAAGGTTGGAGATAAGGCTATGTAGGGAAGTTAGTTACAAAACCTGTGGCTTGTTTAAATGTAGTGAATTCTAGTAGAGTCTGGGGCAGGCAAGATCATTCTTGGTGTCAGCTGGTGCTGTGTTGATAATTTTGGCTGAATGATTTTATAAAGCTACAGAGAGGAATTGTCGGGGAGAAGTTACTGGGTGTGCTTCTCATTCATTCTGCTATACTCTCCAACCTCCCCAGGAATCAGGTGATTGCTTTCAGCGGGTTAGCTTCATGCATTTTTATGCTGATTTGATTTCCTGGAGAAAATAACCCAAATAGGGCTTTCAAGGAATTTTTTTTTTCTCTGATTAGACAACACAGGGCCTTGTGGAGAAGGTTAAGAAATTGTTGTCGTTGTTGTTGTTATTGAGACAAGATCTAACCATGTTACCCAGGCTGGCTGGAGTGCTGTGGCTATTCACAGGTGTGATTATGGCATACTGCAGGCTCAAACTCCTGGGCTTAAGTGATCCTCCTGCCTCAGCATCCTGAGTAACCGAGACTCCAGGTGTGTGCTACCATGCCCAGCTAAGATTTATCTTCATATAATAGCAATAGGAAGCTG